CAGCGCCAGTTGGATGAGCCAAAACTAGAACGGCGGCCTAGGGAGAGGTGAGGTGTTTTTGTTTCTTTGTTTGTTCTGTTTTGGTATTAGGGTTTGAACTCAGGGCCTCATGCATGGTAGGCAAGTACTCTATACCACTGAGCTGCATCCCTAGTCTAATGAAGTTATATTCAATTACAGATTTTTCATTGGTATTTTTAGTGCTGCTTAATGGGGGCATTTGGGAAATTTGTGGTTCTTGTTGTCACTTGATAAGCATTTAGTGGGCTGTGGGGTATTAGGCAATCTGCAGTGTATGGAACAGTTTTATACAATACAGAGTGTCCTATCCTTCATGATTTTAGAAAGGCCTTTGCTTTTGCTGCCACAAATGTAAATTGGTGGCACTTTAATATAAAAGTAAGCAAATTGTGACCTGTGTCTGTTTGGTTTTGGGGGGGGGGTTGTTTTTTAGGTTTTTTCTTAATATCTTTTTTTGTTTGTTTGTTTTTTAAATACTTGTTTATTTTAGTTGTAGTTGAACACAATACTTTTTATTTTGTTTATTTATTTTTATGTGGTGCTGAGGATTGAATCCAGGGCCTGACGCGTGCTAGGCGAGCACTCTACCACTGAGCCACAACCCCAGCCCCCTCCCCCCTGTCTGTTTTTGTAGATGAGCTTTAGACCTTCAAGAAAAAAAAAAAATTGCCACCCAGTTCTTTTCTATATAGAATAAAACTCCACAATGGTACAATAAGTGTAGAATTCAGAAAATTTTTACATCATCTATAGAAATTATGTTGAGATTAATAAAAATTACATTTACTTCTTTTCAAAAGTTATTGATTGGCATAGAAAATGTTTTTTCTCTTGTTGAGTGTAGGCTAGGAATTCACTTGCATTGATTTTTGTGTGTATATACTTAGAGCTATATTATCTTCTAAGTGTTATTTCAGGGTAGTAATCATTACACAAGTATTTAAAAAGTGTATGTAGTAGGGCAGAAACCTGTAATATAGGCCCTGTTATGAATGGCTTATATGATTGGGTTAATAAAAGATGGTGTTGGAGATGATCAAAGAGGATTTTTTTTTTTTTAATTTCTATTTTATTTTTTATTTTTTTGGTTGTTGATGGACCTTTATTTTATTTATTTGTATGTGGTGCTGAGAAATGAACCCAGGGCCTCATGCATGGCAAGCACACTACACTGAGCCACAACCCCAGCCCCAAGGATTTTCTTAACCTTTTAGTTTGAAGAAAAGCATTCTCATGCACCCATAGAGGCAGCAAGTCTGATAAAATAATTGCTGGTTCTTAGGGGTCAGCATGGGTCCAAAGGAGCCTTCTTTGAGCTGCACACAATGTATTTTTTTGTTAAATCTCTTTTGTACAGACACCCAAGCTGGCGAAGTGAAGAAACTCAGGAACGGGAACGGTCAAGGACAGGAAGTGAGTCATCACAGACTGGAACCTCAGCCACATCTGGCAGAAGTAAGTCAGACCCTGGTGGGTATCACATTATCGCTATTTTCAATAAACTGCCCATAACGAAAGTATGCAGAGATTGTGCATTATTAAATTCAGCTAAATTCTGAGTTGCATGTCCTGATCTGGGTATTGGGAATTGAACCCAGGGGCACTTTACCATTGATCTATATCCCTAGATGGTTTTTTGCTTTGTTTTTAATTTTTAATTTTGAGGTAGGGTCTTGCTAAGTTCCTGTGGCTGGCCTTGTATTTGGGATCATCCTGCCTCCCCAGTTGCTGGTATTACAGTCATCCTCAATCAAGCCCAGCACATAACTATTTGTTAACATACATGCAGTCGTTATTTTTCCTATTTTCTGTGCATCAGTAAAGCATTTTCTTAAAATTACATATGAGAATCATAGTTTAGGGATCCCTCCATTGATTAGCAGCCAAAATAGGTTCTTCATTTAAGAATGATTATGGAAAGCATTAAATGTGGATGTGGACCATTTTCTACCCTCTTGTGATCCTGGTAGGTGTTAAGAATAAGTCTGTCTTGTCTCTTGCTCTTTCATGTCTTGTCTTGATCTTTCTTGTCTCTTGATCTTCCCACTGTTTTGGGGTGAGACTTTTACTGGGGATTGCACTCAGGGGTACTTGACCACTGAGCCATGTCTCCAGCCCCCCCCCCCCCCCTTTTTTTTTTTTTTTTTTTTTTTTTTTTTTTTTTAAAGAGAGAGTATCTCACTGAGTTGCTTAGTGCCTCACTTTTGCTGAGTCTGTCTGGCTTTGAACTCTATCCTCCTGACTCAGCCTCCTGAGCTGCTGGGATTATAGGCGTGCACCACTACACCCAGCTGACCTTCTTCCCACTTTTGACTTCACAGATGCACGAAGGAGAGAGAGTGAGAAGTCTCTAGAAAATGAAACACTCAATAAGGAGGAAGACTGTCACTCTCCAACTTCTAAGCCTCCCAAACCTGATCAGCCTCTAAAGGTAATGCCAGCCCCTCCACCAAAGGAGAATGCGTGGGTGAAGCGAAGTTCTAACCCTCCTGCTCGATCACAGAGCTCAGACACAGAGCAGCAATCCCCCACAAGGTGAGTCAGCTTGAAAGAGCAGCTGGTTAGCCTGGGATAATAAATGTAATACAACTATGGAAAATGTCCTTTGGATGATGGAGTGTGTATAAATGTTGTCTTGGTTCTCAGTTCAGATTCATAGGTATACTGCTGTTGGCTCATAAGAGCCAGTTCCATTTTCTGGTCTTTTGATAGCCAGTCATCACTCTAGTGTCTTGAAGTCAGTCATGGTGGGAGTATTTTGCCACATGAATCTGCAAACGCTTACATGAATTACTCCTTTCCCTGCCACATATTGGCAGTATAGCTGTGGGAGTTCACTTCACTGAAGCATTAGATCTTTAAGTCTTTCCTCTTTTGTATATAAGGGATACTACCACTAACCTTGTACAATTGTGATAGAAGAGATTCTAAGATAAGTAGCAGTTAATGAGCAGATTATTGCTGTTTTTTTTTTTTTTAATTTTTTTTTTTAGTAGTCTATAACATTAAGGATGGGACTTCTTGTTTTCTGTAAAGCTTACTGCATGTGCAGAATAATCGTAGGTTTCTTACATGTTCTTTTCCCTAAAACAAGTGATGATTGTGATCATGTTTCCCTTCTAGTGGTGGGGGGAAAGTAGCTCCAGCTCAGCCATCTGAGGAAGGACCCACAAGGAAAGGTAAGACCATACCTAGGGTAAAATGTTTTCATCTATAGGGCTAAATGAAAAGACATCCATAATAAACCCCCAGACCAAGAATCAAGAAACTTGGATCCGTGTCTTTATTTATTTATATTTATGTGGTGCTGAGGATCAAACCCAGCACCTCACACATGGTAGGTAGGCAAGCGCTTTACCACTGATCCACTGCCCCAGCCCCAACCTGGGATCAGTGTCTCTTGCTTTCCCAAAAGCTTTGTGTTGAAACTGTTAGATTATCTACCTTTTCCTGCCAGGAGAGGGCAGGAGTGGCCTCTGCAGAGAAAGTGTGAAGCCTTGCCCTTTCCTGGTAAAACATTTCTTTGGAAGCAGGGAGAAATTGGATGGAAATTAACATATTTATAGCACAGTAAGTCCAGATTTGGAAATGTCGCCAAGAGCAAGGTCAAAGTTACTACAGAACATCATAGCTCTTGTTTCCAGATAGCTTTTTCAGATTAATAAAGCCTATAGGTGGGACTTTTTTCTACTTGAGGATAACCCAGGACGAGAAGAGTGGTTATTTCACTTTTCTTTGTTTTTGCATTTCTGCTCAAGCAGACGATAATAAAATAGATGGAATGAGTGTCCCAAAAGGCCAAACTGGGAACTCCAGCCGTGGTCCAGGAGATGGAGGGAACAAAGATCACTGGAAGGAGTCAGATAGGTATGCATATTTTCTTTCTCATCATTTGCGAATTTTTTATGTGGTTTTAGATGCATGGGTCTTTGTGATGGAAGTTCTTGGTTTTCCAAGCACTGCCAGATTTCTCATTTCAAACAAACTAAAGTCAACCCAAAACAAACAGTTACATTAAGAGAATGTGATGTCCAGATAGCACGAACAGTTGATAGGATGTACCTGTTGGGGGTCAAAACTACATTCTTGTCTATGTTGGGGGAGTCCCCTCCCAAAGATATGGTTTTATGCTTACATCTCTGCAGGAAAGAGGGCAAAAAGGATCAAGACTCCAGATCTGCACCTGAGCCAAAGAAACCTGAGGAAAATCCAGCCTCTGTAAGTGTTACTGGCTTAACCTCAACTTCTCAGCTTCCTTTGGCCATTGGCCTTCTTTACATTTGGGACTGAAGAGTGGTTGGAAATAAGACATTGGTCTTAGTTCAGACTAATGAAAAAAGTTGAGATGAGCTCTCCCCCCCCCCCGTCACATTTACTGCTCTCATGCTCTTGCAAGGTAAAGGTGAAGATAGAACACATGTGCTTCTGGCCCTCTTTCTAACAACTCTGCTAGAAAATGCTATGAGCAAGCCAATGGGTGTAGTCTTTACTGTCATCCCCATTTGCCAAAGTATTTGCATTCTGTCTTGGATTTTGATGTGGGAATCCAAGGTCTTCGTTATCTTGTCACTGTCTTCTGTTACAGAAATTCAGTTCTGCAAGCAAGTATGCCGCTCTCTCTGTGGATGGTGAAGATGAAAATGAGGGAGAAGACTACACTGAGTAGACCTCTGCGTCCTGTGCTTTCTCCTAGTCTCTCCACCCTGGAACATTCAAGAGCAA